GTGTTGTGTTGGGTAAAAAGGGTAAACTTTCGACTCGTATAAACTGCGAAAAGGTCTCTTAATTAATTTGTGCATTTTTGAGCAAAAATTCCTCTTGGGGATTGGAAGGGCTACGTGATCGGTGAGCGAGGGAGTTATGCATGTGCGCATGTCACACCAATCACAGTGTGGGTTATATCAAAGAACGAATCAAATTGCCTGTTAGAAAATAAGATGGTATCTACATTAATCTGGAGACGTGTCAGATTACTGTAGTTTGTTCAGTCAAACATTTTATGGCTTACTACATAGCTATCTTACCATACCCGATGTAACATCGCATGTACATCATAAATTCCCAGTTTCTTTCTTGCTGTACATCGCAACCAAAAACACTTGTCAAATTAACCAAACCATTACTGTAAACAGCTCCATAAATGCTCCTATCTCCGACACTTCACACACAAAAAAATAACTCTTGCACGCCTTGCGTGCCTATGTTTTTAGTTCGTTAATAAGTACTGCACTGTTTAAATTCGGTTTAGCACCCTTCTATAGACCTTCTAACAGGAGGAGTTTTGCTTTTTTGTAGCAATAAGGTCATCTACGATTCTAGTAAGCGCACTCTATCGCCAAAAAAGGGCCGTTTATAATTTAATATTCTTTTCCCGATATTAGCATTGCGAGCACGGGACTTTGATAAGTTTGGATTAACTTTCAAGCCCCAGTGCAGAGTCAAAAGGACTCATCTTTTGAAAAATTTGGTCACGTGATTAACCCATTGATTCCCGGAGCTTTTAGCCAAAAACGCATTTTTTGGACATTTTAGACATTTTCAGCCCGGAAATACCTACTGTAACGGGTGGTTTTGCCATGTGACTTGTCAAGTAGGTTTATATAGAATGAAAAACTGTGTCCACTTCAATGCTGGATTATCCTGAACCGTTATCAATGAGCAGAGACGACGTAGCATTTTGAAACATGGTGAGCTCATCGTTAAGCCAAGCGCATACCTCTACTCGTATTTTCCATAATGCCTTTTGCGCTGTTCGTGTGTACAAACAAACTTATTTTCGATGTCTACAGTGTTCAATATGTCCGTAATAGACTTATGACAAATGATGCAAGATGAGGCAGTTGTTAAGACGATCCTGCTTCATGGTGATTCTAGGGCAGGTTTTTAGTCTTCGTAGCGCAGAAAATGGGCTGTTTTCCAATGCAGGATTTTGGGCGAGATTGTTGTATATAATTTGTTATCGACGGACGTGAGACCGCAGGTTTCTGCGTGACACACAAAAGATCATGTTGTTGTGTGACAAGCAGTAACACCAAGGGCCACTCGTCCAGCGGTGGCACTTCCTCTTATTCTTATTCTTGTTTCGCGTTTGACAAGAGAAGAGCTCGAAACATTGCTGTATCGAATACAACTGAAAACATCTAGAGAAACAACGATGGCTGTCGTTGAAGAGAACTGGCAGACGAAACAATCAACTATTGTGGAGAGGACCACGTTTATTTTCAACAACGAGTTACTGAGTGATGTGAAATTTGCTGTTCCAGTGTCGACTGACGAAAGTGAAAGTAAGAGGGTGATCCCAGCTCACAAGTTTGTGCTTGCAATCAGCAGTCCTGTGTTCTATGCCATGTTCTATGGTCAAATGGCGGAGACTACTGACTCTATTGAACTGCCTGACTGTGACTACGAGAGTCTGTTGGAGTTGTTTCGTTTCATGTACACCGACGGAGCGAATTTGAGCGGAAGTAATGTGATGCCATTGCTGTACTTGGCGAGCAAATATATGGTGCCTTCANTGGGAAAATCTAGACCGCGGTCAATATCGATTTCAGCCAATCAAATTCGTGAATTCGGTAGTTCCCAGTCCTTGTGAGACACAGCCATATAATAATGATTATTTATTGAATGATTTTCATTGATTGCTATCGTCGGGAAATAGACTGTTCACAGCCTCTCTATTCTGACGCACGCGAAAGAAAAAGCGAGCGAAGCGAACGTGAAGCACGCTCAAATGATTACGCTCAAATAAATACGTCACAGCATGAAAAAGCAAATGTACGTTGGCATAAGGACCACGTAAATGTAACGTAAAGTTCGGATATACGCGACTTTACGCTAACTTTACGAAACGTAAAGTTGAGCTTTACGCTACCTTTAATGGAAGGCGTAAAGTAAAGTTGGCGTAAATGTGTCTTAAAGTCGATTTTAAGCAACAGCGTAAATCCAGTTTAAAGGCACTGTAAAGGTTAATTCACGCTACTTTACAGAGCATTAATTTTTCTTCTTACAAAGTTCACCAGTATCACGCTCCCAAACCTGACTTTAGTCTGCCATTGATGCACAGGAAGCTAAAAACTTGATCAAGAGTTAGCTCAAATATTTTATGAAGATAGGGGAGAATTTCCATGGACTTATTCGTCTTAAAAATGCAGCGAGCCCACCCCAAATCCATTAATAAATTTGTTACAAAGTGGTATCAGCTCTGTTTCATTACTCCATTTATTCACAATACATCCGTTACTGAAAATTACGGAATACTCATAACANCTTAACACTTGACGTAAAGTTGGCGCAAATGTGTCGTAAAGTCGATTTTAAACAACAGCGTAAATCCAGTTTAAAGGCACTGTAAAGGTTAATTTACGCTACTTTACAGAGCATTAATTTCTTTTTCTTCTCACAAAGTTCACCAGTATCACGCTCCCAAACCCGACTTTAGCCTGCCATTGATGCGCAGGAAGCTAAAAAATTGATCAAGAGTTACCTCAAATATTTTATGAAGATAGGGGAGAATTTTCCTGGGCTTATTCGTCTTAAAATGTAGCGAGCTCACTCCAAACCCATTAATAAATTTGTTGCAAAGTGGTGTCAGCTCTGTTTCATTACTCCATGTATTTACAATACATCCGTTACTGAAAATTACGGAATACTCATAACAAAAACGTTATCAGTTGGTCACGTTCTCAGGAGTATGAAAATATAAAATAATCATCAATCAACATAGCTTAATTTTACTCCCACAAGTACGGTTACAAAGGTACAACCAATTAATTGTAAGGAAAGAAAGAAATTTTAAATTCATCAAAATAATCACTGCAAATCATCTACACGTACTTTTTGTTGTCCATGGCCTGGCTTCTAAATCTTAACTGGAACAAACACAAAGGATAAAAGTTTATGCACAACAGTGTTTATCACTTTAGTCAATATTTAGGTGACCTCCGGCAAGTGTTCTTTTTCGACTTCTTTTTGTTGGAAGAAAGATGTGGTCTGCTGCTCTGTGAAGGTGTCACAGTCCGGCTGCTGAGAGGTGTTGCAGTTGTACATGAAGTGCTGGTGGAGGGAGCAGCAATCCGGGTGCCTGGGGAAGTTTTGTCAGATCTGTTCGCAGGTAAAAGTTTGGAAGGTCTGCTACCAGTGGGAGGTGTTGCAGGTCTGGTACCTGTGGAAGGTGTTACAGGTCTGGTACTGAGGGAAGTTGTTGCAGGTCTGATGCTTGGGGAAGTTGTTGCTGTTCTGATGCCAGGGGAAGTTGCTGCAGGTGTGGTAGCTGAGGAAGGTTCTGTAGGTCTGACAACTGTGGAAGGTCTTGCAAGTCTGGTACCAGGNAAGGAAAGAAAGAAATTTTAAATTCATCAAAATAATCACTGCAAATCATCTACATGTACTTTTTGTTGTCCATCATGGGCTCTAAATCTTAACTGGAACAAACAGAAAGGATAAAAGTTTGTGCACAACAGTGTTTATCACTTTAGTCAATATTCAGGTGACCTGCGGCGAGTGTTCTTTTTCGACTTCTTTTTGTTGGAAGAAAGATGTGGCCTGGTGCTCTGTGAAGGTGTCACAGTACTAGTCCGGCTGCTGAGAGGTGTTGCAGTTGTACATGAAGTGCTGGTGGAGGGAGCAGCAATCCAGATCTGTTCCCAGGCAAAATTTTGAAAAGTCTGGTACCAGTGGAAGGTGTTGCAGGTCTGGTACCAGTGGAAGGTGTTACAGGTGTGATACTGAGGGAAGTTGTTTTAGGTCTGATGCTCGGGGAAATTGTTGCTGGTCTGATGCCAAGGGAAGTTGCTACAGGTGTGGTAGCTGAGGAAGGTTCTGTAGGTCTGACAACTGTGGAAGGTCTTGCAAGTCTGGTACCAGGCGAAGTTGCTGCAGGTCTGGCACCAGGTGAACTTCCAGAGGAAGGCATTGCAGGTCTGGTGGCAGGAAGTACCCTTACCGCCCACTCTAGTGGTTCAGTGGGTGGACCTCGTGTAGATGGTAGACGATGAACCCTTCTGATGGCGAGATTTTGTCTTCCTCGCTGGTTAAGCCCACGCATGTAGGCTTCATCAAGGCTTCGTTTTACATTTTTTTGAGCAAGTCCGCTCCCATGGCAACTTTTTCACAAGAAAGCCAGACTGTCGCGATTCGCCGTTCTCATCTTCTTCATATAAATACGAGAAAATAGAGGGCTGTGAACAGTCTAGTCGGAAAACATTAGTCAGTATTGCTCCGGGGTTTTTGCCGTGACTTCATTGGCTGCAAGACTCCTGTAGAATTCGTCAACAATCAACTGAACGGTGTTACACAGTTCGATACCCTGTTTTCAGCCAAAGTTGTACGCTCTTTTTGATTTTGGTCAACTACGCTGCAAATGAATCATATCACAATACCAACAGTCACGCAGTTGTGTGACATTTTCAGAGCCTGCAATCGCAAGGTACTTGATCATCCAGCGGCTAATTTTTCCTTGTTTCATTTTCGATTACGCCGAGCCGGAAACAAAACTGAGCTGCATCGAACACAAAGCTGGGAACAAACCAAAGAGTTACAATGGCAATTGTTGAAGAGAACTGGCAGACGAAGTGTTCAGCTATCGCACAGAGAACTACGTTTATTTTCAACACGGAGTTACTGAGCGATGTGAAATTTCTTGTTCCAACGTCGACTGGCGAAAGAAATAGCAAGAAGGTGATCCCAGCTCACAAGTTTGTGCTTGCAATCAGCAGTCCTGTGTTCTATGCCATGTTCTATGGTCAAATGGCAGAGACCAAAACCTCTATTGAACTGCCTGACTGTGACTACGAGAGTCTGTTGGAGATGTTTCGCTATTTGTACAGCGATGAAGTGAATTTGAGCGGAAGTAATGTGATGCAAGTGCTGTACTTAGCGAACAAATATATGGTGCCTTCACTGGCTGACAAATGTGCCAAATATCTTCGACGCAATTTGAAAGCATCAAATGTGTTTTTCATTTTGCCGTACGCTCAAAAGTTCGAAGATAAAGAATTGGAAGATCGATGCTGGAAAGTGATTATGCAGCAGACAGAAGAAGCTGTGACGTCAGATGAATTTGTTACAGTCGAGCGATCACTGGTCGAGACAGTTGTGAAGAGAGAAATATTGAACGTGAAGGAAGTGGAACTGTTTAAAGCCGTTGATCGCTGGGCCACAGAACAAAGTAAAAGGGAAAGAATAACTCCCAATGGAGAGTCGAAAAGACGAATTCTTGGAGAGGAGATTGTGAAAGCGATAAGATTTCCATTGATGTTACAGAATGAGTTTGCCTCAGTTGTCATCGACTCTGACATTCTTACTTTGAAAGAGGTTGGTGACATGATGAAACACTACAATGGTGTCTTAACATCTTCTTTACCATTTATACAAGCCCCAAGGAAGGAGTTTTCAACTCTGCTTGCCGAATGTCGAAGATTTCAATCCTTTAACTTTCCAATCCATTTAAGTTTCCACGACAGGTCGGCTTCGCTTGACTGCCGTTACTGTCTTATTTTTTCCGTTAACAAGCCAATCATGCTACATGGAGTTCAGCATTTTGGTTACAAAGGTGGCAACTACACTGTTTCCACAGAAGTTACTACAGATGGCTCTTCTCTGGTAAAACATTCAGGATCATACACTTCGGAAAACGACAAGACTTGTTCTTACTATGGCTTTTCTGTCAAGTTCGATCGACCAGTTCGTTTGGTAGAAAACAAACACTACAAGTTAGAATCGTTTATGAAAGGTCCCATGCCATGGTTTGGAACAGGAGGACAAACAAATGTTGAGTCTCAAGGAGTGGTATTCACCTTCTATACTTCGCGGTCTGACCAGTTTCCTGTGTTATTTTGGTCAGGAACACGTTGAAGCTTCTATTCAGTACATTATTTCCGTTTGTAAGGTCTTTCAGTTTATGATCCTGGAACGAGTTTAACCTAAATTTAAACTAGTCTTCCGTGACTTATTAAGGGTAAATTAATTTTTCATTGGATTATTTTGACCGTCTGCACTCAAAATTGTAGGCTACAATGAAACGTTATCGAATGCTGCTATCGAAAACGACTGGGACAGGAACAAAAGCAGTGTGCTCGACAATGCCGAAAAATTTCCGGGAAGTCGTAATTTTCCGTCACTGAACTGAAGTTAACGGTTTCTCGACACGATAGATGAAGAAAGCTTGAATATAATGACTCTATTCATGGTTTCTTCCTTCGGCCATAATGGCTCTTGTCACGCACTAAGGTGACAATCTGGCTACCCATAATACCTTTCGATATTTGTACGTAAGCTTATACCCCTTTGTCAGACGACCTTTCTCGAAACACCTGTATATAGCATAAAGAAAGGAAAACCGATCACCGTGATTTAAGTTTCATTGAAGAAAAGCGAATATAGAAAGATTGAAACCTTGAAATGCGTTTCACCTAACAAATGCTACATTGGTTCAGCCATTGCCAGTTTTCCTATGACTTTATCTCCGAAGTAAAAAATCCTTATAGTGTTTTAGATTCGTCAGATATAAGTTTTGACAAGGTTCTTCGTTTTGTAACGGAGCAGGTGTGAATTTCCAAATTTTTGCGTTGCATGGCATTATAATATAAAATGGCGGCCTGAGAAGGCTGTATGTAGGTAAAAATATTTAGAGTGTTTGCAAATTGAACAATCCTTGCATTAAATGCTAATTTTAATGCGCCGACCGAGCCTTAGAGTATAATATATATTTGCGTAAAGTATCTCTCCAAGTAACACACGTATGAAAAACCGTAAAGAGCTAAATCTTAGTATCAATGCACTGCTATTATATCCCAGATTCTTGACTTAATTGATTGAATGGTCACTATGTTCATTTTTGATTGTATGAAAACCAGCAACAAGTGCGTGAAGAACAAGCAAAAGAATCTGGAATATTCAGAGAATAAAACACGATCTTATAACGGCTTTGACGTATTGTTTGATCGTCCAATTGCTTGGAAAAATGACAGGCACAAGTTGGTGTCCCAAAACAAGGGTCCAACTCATGGTATGGAGTAACAGAAGAAACATCTGTCGAGTGTCGAGGAGTACTATTCTCTTGTTCACCTTCCCTACTTCAGGTGGTAACACTTATCCAACCATAGCTCGGTTACCCAATTTTTTGTTGGTGAAAGTTTTCTTTCATAAAGGTTTCCTAGTTGTATTAGTATTTATACCATGCCATAGAAAACCATTTTACAGCCAATCAGAATACAGGAAAGCAGTTGTATACTCAACGGTATTAAACCTAACCTTCCCATCATGCGCCCCGCGTTTGTCGCATTGATTTTGTAGGACACTGTATTTTCTATGGTATGGTATAAAATAGTTATCCAACGCCCTCTCGTGGTATACCATGGAATACGTATCCCACTTGTCATTTGTATTTTGTCGGTTTACACACTCGCCTAAAGGCTTGTATGTAAACCGACAAAATTCAAGTGACTCGTGGGATATTTCACGGTATACCACTCGAAAGTGTTGCATAACTAGTTTATATGGAGCTCATGTTTAAGCAGAATTTAGCGCATTATTTTCGTCTGTAGGGTCAGTTCCCTATTCATGACCCTTAAAATTTGTACCGTTACACGTCGATCCGTGAATTAATAAAGGTACATGGAGCATTATTACTACATGCATGTGAAACTTCAAATGTGTCGAATACTACCAGGAAGTNGTTACACGTCGATCCGTGAATTAATAAAGGTACATGGAGCATTATTACTACATGCATGTGAAACTTCAAATGTGTCGAATACTACCAGGAAGTACTAACAGTCGGAGTCAAAGTAAAAAAAGCTTTCTGATTGTAGAGCGAATCGAAGAAGTCGAGGCATTGAGAATGCGTTTCAGCACTCTACCATTTGAGCTATAAGTCGGCACAAAGCAAACCAACACCAAGCTATATTTGGCGTTGTAATAACTCAGTATGAATTCATAAATGAGTGTAAATATAGTTGATCGCGATAGTTTAGAACTAACGTAAGTAAAAGTGAAAGCATAACAGTAAGCAGGAATCCATACCCTTTGCCGTCAATCTATTTATCAACCTTTTAGCTTCTTTTTTTCAGCGGTTAAGTCATGACCCCGTTTTTCATGGATATTACATGTATTCCATAGGTGAAGTTTTGTATTGTGCCCGGACAGTTTTCAGTTTTTGGCCAAGATATTCTGACCAACCAAAGAAAAATTTATCGTAGTATATCAAAAAGTGAATCTCAAATAAGGAAAACATTTTTGTTCACTTTGATCCTTGTATGCTAAACAAACACACTCAAAGGCGCTTTAACTATTGTATGACAGTGTACGAGCGTAGAACCTTATTTATCACGATTTTCAGCAGTAATTAAGTGATTCGAAATCAGGAGCGGAACATTGGACTAACGAATGAATGAGTGAATAGCTCCAAAGTCATCTTCAGGCCCATTGAAACAGTCAGTTTTGTCATGACTTCAATGGCTGCAAGACTCTTGCCAATCTCCCATATTGGGAGTGGCGGGCATACGGGAATACTCCGTGAACATGTTTCATACTTGCATTCCATATTGTGAAACTGGGCCCTACTGTTTGATTAGAACTGTTTATTTGCAAGTACAGTATGTTGCTGCTTATCACGGATATCATAATTATTCTGATTATTTTCGTCCAGCTTTTCCTTAGAGACCGCTGCAGTACAGACAGTAGCTTTACTTCGGGGAAAGCTATATGTTTGTCTAGAGACCTACTTTTGATTCTTGCATCAATTTCATCGAGATTTTGTCTCTCGAGCTCGATGTTTAGGTTTAAACTTCCTTTGTTCGTTCTGGTAGCACATGATTCAAATGTAGCTGCTTACGGACTCCTTACGCGCGAGTCTGTTGGCTGGTTTGCGTGTTGCATATGTCATTGCTTGGCTTTGTTCAGGCATCACGTCTGCTAGACATAAAAATGCAACCAGGAAATGAAACCGTCAGACAGAACGCCAATAACATGTACATCTTCTCTTTTCAGTAATTAATAGCAACTTTAATTAAAGGAATTCCGTGTTTGTCGCTGCGCACAACTACGATTATTACTCGGGTGGGAACAAACCTTCATTTTTTGCCCCTGATATATATCTCACCTCTTTAGAAGATACGTTAAGCTTTTTTTTCTTAAATGATAATCCAAGGTTATAAGGTGTTTTCTAGCTTAAAAAAATTAAACATGAAAATTAAACATTTTCTTGGCTTTCAGTTTGGACTATCATGTCGGTCCTTGTCCCGTTAAGGTGGTATATACCGAAAAATATGGCGATGTTCATCAAAACTTCCATTTTTAAAAAAAACCGCCATAGCAACGACTGAGTCTACGCCTCTGTAAAAGACGAAACCGATTCGTATTACGGCTTTGATGTACAGTTTGATCGTCCAGTAAATTTGGAGAAAAGTAGACTGTACAAGTTAGTGTCACTTATAAAGGGTCCTTTGTCGTGGTATGGACAAGAAGGAGAAACATCTGTTGCGTCTCAAGGTGTACGATTTACTTTCTCTAATTCGGAGGATAGCATTAACGGGACTTGTGATGATAGAGGCCAGTTTCCTGCTCTTTTGATAGGATAAAACTTTCCTTTATAGGTCTTAGAATGTAGCCCGGTCTGCAAGGACTGAGTTGCATACACAGTGTTTTACGTTCAAGAGTTAACTAATGGCATACTGGTTGAAGTAGGAGCTTCGTTCAAACGGTCCGTCTTGTTCTCAATCCTGATTTATTTACACTTTCGTTACCATTATCACAGGTACATGTATGAGCACTGAAAGTAAGCACACTCAATCTAAAAAGATGACTGTGACAGCAAGTGATATAGTTTGAGAAAACATTAACATAGGCATAACTGCATTTCAGTCAGAAGTTTTGTGTAGGAAGCGTGACGGACTTTCGGAAATACCTTTACAACACACAAATGCTATCCCAATGGAGCTATGAATCTGCCAGCGGCATAGTTTTTGTTGTAATTTAGAAAAGTGTATGGGATATGTCGCGTTCTTTTTTATAACAAACATAACAATCTTGTAAGTAAGGGAAGTCATAGAATAAATAAACTAACGTAATGAACGCTCACTTGTATGTTGATTAGAACTCTCAATTAACAGAAGGCACACTTCAACCACTTCAACCACTTTATTTCTTTCTTTATTTTGGTTTGTGTGGCAAATCAAAAAAATAAAATAAATAAAAATAACTCATTGACGATACTGGCTGATCCTTCTAGTCTTAAATTAGTTGGATACGAAAGCATTAGTGTGACAGCAGTAAGCTCAGCTATTCATCTTGTGCCGGAAGTGTTAAGGGGTCCCGGAAAAGGAACGATGACCAAAAAGCTGCACTTTTGGCCGGTTTAGTTCACGACTTTCGGTTATAATTAAAAATGGTCGATCGAATAGGCGAATCTTCGCTGACGTCATTGTTTACATTTTTCCTCATTAGCATACGACTTGACTCATAGAAGCCGTGGCCTTATATATGAACTAAATGCAAAGGTTGATAAAGCTGATTAAGTTGAGCAATTTGTGCAATTTTCAGCTCTTTGCAAGCAAAATTGAAGGAAATATCAAAAACTGCAAAATTGCTGTGTGGCAAAAAAGTTAATGGGCCATAGATTTCTCTATAAAATTTCGAGTTTTTAGAAGAGAATTTCTCCGAAACCATTCCGTGTATTGGGCTCAAAGTTTCAGAGGTAACTGAAACTGTAACGCCCTTTCAATATTCAGAGTTTTTCTTTCATTAGCGTCATCAGATAGTGATAAGCAAATGTTAATGAGGCAAAAAGTGTAAACAAAGATTCGCCTATACATCTTCTTCCCATGAATTTCGTGCATAAATACTAAAATCCACTGCAATGAAGTATTCATGACCCTGTTGACTGTAGTAAGCTTCTTTCCAAGTCAGTCCAAATATCCTTTCCAGTTTCCAAACATTTTATCAGCATTTCAACTTTTTTCGAGTCTAAATTTCCCTCCTGGAATAAAGAGACTTGAAGTTAGCGCGACATGGTAATCACAGTAGCTTGCGTACAGAAGTTCAAATCTTTGTGCTGCAAGATCAGACCTGTAGAATAGGAAGGGCTGTAGTGCAGTTCCTGAACTCTCCTTTCTCTGCCCTATATAGGGTTGATCCTGGGTTCAACCCCTACGTAGGGACTGGAACTAGCTTGCAACCGAGGCTAATGTGTGAGCCTTTCCAAATGCAAATAGAATTTATTGCTTTCTAATGATGTTCCCCCACATGAGCCTCCATTGCAAGCTAGTTCCAGTCCAATACCGAGAATACAAATATGGTGTGTTTGTTCGGCAGGCATTTCTATAGTCTAACAAAGTTTAGACCACGGAAGTGTTGCGGCTTACAACCAAAGCAAACAAACAAAAAAAAAAACCAGAAACAAGTGAGGTGCACACCTGTCGAAGGCGATCTAGGTCGTCACCAAAATTAGACGTTACCATCTCCATGTAAAAGTCACGGAAAGAATTCGTATTATCTTCTGCCTGTATAAGGAAAGGAGGCTTTAGAAGCAATTGGAAGACCTAAAGTTTTAGTTTTCAGACAAAAGCAAATGGCTCAGCCTGTACACTGCAGAAATAGCAAAAGGGCAGAAATGAAGAGCTTGGGTGATTCATAAAACTTAGTCCTAAAATAATGAACAAAGTTGTTGAAAGCTGCCATTTATGAAGACACTGACTTAACTACATTCTGTGACATGCACACAGCCTGACCTCATGACAGACCCATTATTCCGTCATACCAATAGTTGAAGTGGTAAAACTAGTCAGGAGAAAGTGCTCTTTAAGTAAATCTAGCGCCGGACAGTAACAACATATAAGATAATGCAAGTGACCGATCACGTATTTTAAAGGGGCTCAGTCACGGTATTTTGAGTTATTTTTGCCACATACAAAATTACCTTTAAATGATAGGAAACCTAAAAATAACAGTTTAATAAGATAGAAAAACACCAAAGAGATAATGATAAACCATAATGGAACACGGATGGTTAAGGATGGAGAAGATTAACACGGATTACAAACGACGAATTTGAAAAATTGAGGATAAACTTTTCAATAATTATGCACAAACCGTGACTGAGCTCCTTTAACTGCAGGGTAGACATTAAAGACGTTAGAGATCGTCTCAGTTACGTATGTAACTTAAGGAAGTTGCGAAGAAAAGGAAAAAAAAAGAAAAGAAAAGGAAATCAGGTTTGAACGGGAAACGAAACCTTATCCTCTGCGATACCGGTGCAGTGCTCTACCAACTGAGCTATCAAGATAACTGGGAGCTGGTCAAGCACGTTGTGAGTCCAAATAAAATAAAAATTCATTGCCATTTATGACGCAGTTTAACACTTTTTTCAAAAGTACCAATTAAATATATACTTTCGCCTGGCCAGCGGCTCTACACCTAGCGGCGTGGGGGGAGGGAGGGGGGGGGGGTTTCCTCCGTAAAGGGCGGGCTGGGGACATGGCCCAGGCACTGGTTTATCTGCTGGTGCTTTGCTGGCGGCCAAATGTCAAAAGCAGGAAGAAGGGGAGGGTGTCTTTTACTGACACCTTCACCTATCCAGACTTCAGGTTTTTAGTGCCAAATAACCTTGATATTGACTGTGTTGCTGGGCACTTTCCTCAGTTGTTGAACCTTGTTTGAGGGTTCTGTGTTGACATGGCACCCTGCTGGACAGGCCCAAGTCACGTGCATACGTGACTGGGCCAATCTCCTAGCCAGGGGTGGGGTGGGGAGGAGGTAGTGGTCAGAGCACTTCTGGACCCTGGGACTGTCTTTGAGCTGTCTGCGGGCATGTTTTTGTGAATACGGTCAGATATAATATACTGTGAGGATTAATCTATTGGGAAAATATTTTTGTAACTGAGAGCTACGTACACTTGTAGCAAATCTTTTACGTCAAAATGAGAAGTTCCTAAAGAAAATGTTGCGCTGCGCCGGAGGGCAAGAGCAACCAACACCTACACAGTTAGATAGTTCATTATCAACTTACTACGGCAGTTAACTACCATAGTGAATGAACCACCATTTAGAGCATTAGATTGAAGTCGGAGCAAAATGGAGGTTAGTGAGTTGTGTGTGTTTATTTAGTGGTGTTCTGAGGTAAGGAAGCGTGTTAACGGCGAAGGCTAGAAATTTTTTGCCACTATGCATGTTCAGTTGTTATATCGTCATTATACTTCTTAAAATTGTGTAATATTTTCCCGCACGTGTGAATGCTTTTCACTAGCGATGATATTCTGTAAGAGGAAGCTACTTCAGACCGAGCTTCTCAAAATTTTCTTAATGCAACGTTAGTCTTGGTTTGGAGCGTGTCATCCAAATTAAACTTCTTTTACTGACCTTACTTTCGTTTTCTTTTTTATTTTCTGTTGTTTTCTTTGAGCCGCTTTCCTATCAAAAAGGAACAAGAAAAAAAGGATTACGTGTTAAGGAAAAGAACATTTTCCAGGGTTTACATAAAAAGTTGGGAAGCAAACTCTGTGGCTTTTTTGACTTGGACAACAAAAAACTCTGTATTTTGTGGAAACTCACTCGCGGAAAGCGGTTTCCGATAAAGTCCCTGAACGAGGGTAAAAGATTTGCGTAAGAATAATATAGACTACGAGTAGTCCCTCTTTCGAGTAGTCTGTCTGCGTGACGCGAAAGAAAACCGCGAGAAAAAAATGGCCGCGCGAATTCCTCCTCGCCCTCCAGGATTTCGCGCGGCCACTTTTTTCTCGCGGTTTTCTTTCGCGTCACGCACGACGGACTAAGCGAAAGAGGGACTACTCGTAGTCTAGAATGATGAGACACGCGATTTTCTCGTTCGCGCGCAAACTTCACACATCGCACACAGCTCGCATAAATATCTCGAGACAAAATGCGCGGAAATGCCTGGCCCTGACAGCCAAAAATGTGATGCTGGGGAGAAAGGTTACTAAACTTCTTTCTCTAAAACCAAAATACGAAATTCGTGAGTTTTCTAGACTACAGTAAATGAGTATCCGCGCCTTGAGAACAATTTTCAAAATAATTAACTTCTCCACCTTATATCTCTCCTTCCTTTGATTATGACTTATTTCATTATTACGCCTCTGTTGACGTTTTTGATATTCAATAGTACTTGATAGGACTTAATATATGGCTTGTGTTTGTAGCTGATATAACAGGCGTTCTGATTGACTAATTCTAGGGCATTATTCTCCCGTTATGCCCACGAACTGATTGAAGGCCTGCAAAAACCAAGCAAAAAGCTATGTAATAAACAACTTATTAACCTCGAACATTCTGTCTTTACGGGAAAATCTCAAACCTCAGCCACGCTATCGTTCGGTCAAAACGGCAAGGTCTCGGTTTGAGATTTCCCCTTAAAGTCCTCGCTCTCGGTTAATAAGTAGTTCTTAAAGGAGCTCAGTCACAGTTTGCGCATATTGAAAAGTTTACCCTCAATTTTTCAAATTCGTCGTTTGTAATCCGTGGAAATCTTGTCCCTCCTTAGCCATCCTTGTTCCTTTATGGTTTATAATTATCTCTTTGGTGTTTTTGGATCGTCCTAAATTATTATTTTCAGGTTTCTTAATGACCATTTAAAGATAATTTTGTTCGTGGCCAAAATAACTCAAAATACCGTGACTGAGCTCCTTTAATTCACATACCTTAGAGATATCTGGACTGTTTTTATCCATCTTGTCCAGTTCCTCCATTTTGCGACAAATCTGTTGGTTTATCTGCATAACCTGTCTCCAAAGACCAATCTCGATATACTGGTCTGGTGGAGGCAGGGAAGGTTTTGTTTTCACATCCTGTTCAGAAAGACAATACAGCCTGCTTATGAAATTTTACTATAATTATACTGTACCACATCAGTGGATATAGTGCTTTTCATGCATTCTGATTGGCTACGCAAACTCGGAATAGCGTGTGCTATCCACTTCCCAGCTCGCAAGAGTGAAATGCTTGTCTTTGTCAGGTTACCCTTAAACAATTTATCACATGTCAGTGCTATACAAGTAGTCTGCTCAGTGGAGAACTTAAGTGAGAATTAAGTGTACTGTTCAAGAGCCCCAGACAATGACGGACTGGCAAACACTAAGCCACTTAACTACTCAACCCCAAAACTCCCAGTGCAGGGTCCTGAATGCAGTATTTAAGATAAACCATTGTGCCTCTCAATAGCAGATGAACTAAGCAATTTTGTGGTTAACCACTTATAGAGGGTTACCCACAGGCTTGTCTATGACACGTAATAAGGTTAAAAGATAAGTATGACGTGTGAAAGCTAGAAACTTAAACAGCAAAACGTGATTTGTGAATAAAATCCATCATGAGCTATTCAGTAAATTATTGTTTGTGATGCATCAGTGTGGCGTGCATTAAAATTTGCGTGTGTGACAGGATCATGCCTGCTCCCCCCAATGGTCCTCCTTTTTGAAATATCTAGGCAGAGAAGTGTATGTTGCCAAGTAATTTCTCTGGTGAAAATATTGTGAGTTCAGGTATTTTTTGGAGAAGGAATATTTTGTCCAAAAGGGTTGCTATTCAAAATTCTTGTAATGGTGCTACAAAAAATCTAGCCTGCTACACAATATTTTTTTTAAACATACCCAAACTTAGTTCAGCTAGTAAGTAATACACTTATCATGTGTACATTTCTGTCATTCATAATAGTAAGTAATACACTTATCAGTTGTACATTTCTGTCATTCATAATAGTAAGTAACACACTTATCAGGTGTACATTTCTGTCATTCATCACACTATGTGGTTTATTACAGTGTGCATGTGCACATGTATGATAACAACATGTGCAAGTGGGCATGTCAAGATTACAACACTCACAGATCTTTATAACTTTATAAACAATAATAAATGATTGAACCTTAAGGTAGACATCCATTGTGACATCCTTTGTGTACTTTCTTCCTGAAAATTAGACATTTTAAAAATTAAAAAATTAAAAAATTAAAAAGTGATTTAACCCAACTGGCATTTAAACAAAACACTTTTTTTCTTGTTTGTAGGGGGGGATAGGAGGTCTTAACTAATGGCATTCCTGAATTCCTGACTCTTTACCTCGGTTCCTACCACTGCCTTCATACCTCCCACCTCTTTTCATTCTTCCTATCGCAAAAGCTAACACATATTAATCTTGATGCTGCAAATTGTTTCCTTTTTCTCCCAGGTTTCCTTTCACCTTTGGAATCCTACTCCCTGGCCTCTCTTCTTCCCCCTCTCATAGAGTTCCTACCCCTTTACCCCTGTGTTCCTACCCCCTGTTCCCCTCCACTATCTTAGATACAGTATAAAGCGCACTCAAGAAAGAGCTCATCTTCATCATGATTCCAGCCCCACTCCACCCCACACCAGAAGCTGGAAGTCCCCACACACAGGGGTTTAAAAACACAACATGCTCATTACAAACTTTACCTTCATGTAGCTTTTTAAACAGTTGTGAAACTCTTTTTATTAGCCCCAGAAGCTGAAAAGACTTTTCGGACATTTCCTTTGCATATCTGTGAAACACAAGAAAATAAAAGGTTGGAATGCGGAGAGACAACAAGTAAAAGGAGATTCCATTTGAATTTATTGAACAGATTGGTTCTCCATTCAACAACCTATTTACATAAGTTACAAATAAATGAAAGCAATAATTGAGTGTGGCATCTAAAGAAGATGAAGAGAGTTGCTTTATGAAATGGAGTTCATACCCCATGCCTCTATAAATTTTGCTTGTTTAAAATTAATACATATGTGTGAAGCCATATATCTCCAGCTCCTAGGATTTATAATTGGGGGTAGAGAATTATTAATAATTAATTATGTAACTTGTAATTTGAAAACTGACTAATGAAAACAAAAGAAATATAATTAGGTAACCTCTGTTTCATTCCTGGGGGTAGGTTCTGGATTTCGTCTACAGGACTCCAATCTATTTAACAACAAATTGAAAATCAGAAAATTTAAATCAATACTATCAGTTTTTCGACTTTGAGGTGCGTGTTACTGTCTCTCTCTGTGTGTGTGTGTGTGTGTGTGAGAGAGGGCTGCTGCTGGTGGTAAATTAAATTCTTATCGTCAAACCAAAAAAGTGGGCAATCTGGACTACTGCATTTTAAAGTAAACAAATCTAGTCTTTTAGAGACTTACCATCATTAAGTGGTGCTAGTAACCCTGCTTTTGACTCGATTTTCCTATTTAAAAGAATAAAAAAAGTCAAACATATTCAAATATTGGACAGAATCCAAAATTAAAGAAGTTCTAACTAACAGATCAGTCCAAACGTTGCATATGTTGAGCTCTCAAGCAAGCAGTAACATTTTCTAGTATGATACTGCTAGGGGAGTAATTTGCATCTTTCAGAGTCCCTAAAATATTTCAGTTTACAATGACCAAAACTTTCCTATTGTGTTTTAACTTGTGCATGGTCAAGGCCAAAAAAGCAAATAAAGACCTATTTCATAGTTTATGTGCAGTTTCAGAAAATATCCATAATCTCCCCACAGAAGGGATTGGAATTTCCTGAGGTGTGGGGGTTCTGTAAGACCAAAAAATTTAAAGAACCGTATGAAGGAATTTCCAGAGGTGTGATGGGGAGGTATGGATATTTTCTGGAACCACACAACAGAAGGTTGACGTTTATGAAACCCAACAAAGTTCTTTGTTGTATGTTTCTGTTTGATTTTTCTGCCTTGACTGTGCACATTAAACACAAATTATAGTTGTTTACTACTGACTGAGGAACTAATCAACAGAATTGTTTTGATTACGTAATTCATGTATACTGTATGAGCGCAAAACAAAAGATGTGCTCTGTCATGGACCTTCTAACACAACTCTTGGCATCTTTGTTTCATGCTCCTTTGGTGTTTAGCAGGCTTCTTAACAATTCCCCTCTATTAACTATGACTATTCCAAAGAACTCTTTTCGGCTTTATGCCTATTCCTCTCTATTAACTGTGGACCAATGGTGTAGACCAGAGGAACATATCAGTCCTAATTTCTGAAGCGATAAAATTAATTATGACTGGTTTGAGGGAAACAGTTAATTTTGACTCCCTAGAATCCCAAATGTTTTCTGAGGGAGCCTACGGAAACATTGAGATTCCAGGGAATCTAAATTAACTGGTTTTCTGAGGGACATGATTCCTTTAATAAGTGACTGGTTATATATAGGACATATAAAAGTGCATTCATTCCAGAGGCTTTGACAACATGTTGATTGACTCTCCTTAGAACTCTTAGAAACTCTAAATAGAAACCTGTGAGAACTGCATACTGTTTCTTGTCTTGGTGATAGAAGAACTTTTTAACCCCTTTGGGACTATGACATGTCAACATCTGTCTATATGTATATCACAGTTTTACCCCAGGATTAGCCTATGAATACAGACAGATTTGGGTGGCATGAAACTGGCAAAAGCGGGTAGTCTGTCTATGTTTGCGGGCTATCCTGGAATTGAACCCAGGGTGATGACAGGAACACCATGGTTGGGGTGGAGCAATCTCATCCACAGGGGTCAGGTAGGAACCATGTGTTTTCAGTCAGTGATGGCTAAACATTCTGTATGCTCTGCCAAAATCAAAAGCTGGGAACAGAAAACCTAATTTCAGTTTGATTGTGCTCATGCATTCAGGTTAATAGTGGTTTCTGATCATGTACAAAGAGAGCAACTGTTATGATTAATGCTGTTTCTCCCCCTGGGGTGCTCCCATATGTAAAGGTTGGGGATGTACGTTGGAAAATTTGAAAAAAACCCGTAAAGGAGACCAATCTGGTGTGGCACCAGCTTTATTTGACCCCTAAAGGATACCACTTAAAACAGAATAGGCTCAATTACCAGCCAATGTTCAGGAAATTAGCCTGTGCTAGCAAACCAGACTCGAAAGGCCAGTAGAAATCCAACCTAAAAGAGGAAATATGTGCACCTTAAAAGATACTTAGACAGCTAAAATAGAGGTGCTTCATCATGAGCACCCTAAGCGAGACCAAAATCCTTGATTTTATACTCCTAAGCAAGACAACAAGCATCCCCAACCTTTTCATATGGGAGTTCCCCCCTTCAGGGGTTCTCCTTTCAATATTTTGCCCTGATATATTATTATTATTATTTTTTTGCCCTGATATACCAATTCCTGTCGCTAACTGACAGAATTGAGGACTCTGGGAATGAGAATGAGCCTGGAGGAAAGCAGATGACCTATGCATAGGACACAAAGGAGATACTGGCAGTTGCCCATTAGCTGTAAATTACTCTCTACATTATTAGGGGCCTGTTTACAAGGAGGGAGGGTTACCCTGGCAATTCAAGTGGGTTAACCCTGGTTGGAGGGCAAAAGATAGCCCAGGTTTACAAGCAAAATTTCACATGAAGGGTAACCCTACAACCTGGGACAACTCTATGCACGGTTACACCCAAAGGATCGAAACAATTGGAAAGTTAACCTGGCAGGTGGGTTGACCCTACCTCGAGTGTTTACAAGAGAAAAAGTTGACATGCCTGCCAGGGTAACCCTAGCATGCAGACAGGGTAACCCGCCTACCTGGGTAACCATAGCCACCTTGTTAAGACAACGAAGAAAAAAAGAGGAAATGTGTGAGTGCTAGGGTAACCTGCATGCTAGGGATAACCCTCTCTCCTTGTAAACAGGCCCTAAGTTAAAGGGTAAAGTCATTTAGGCTGAGTCACGTACCTTTTCTTTGCATTATATAGACCGCCTATTCCAAAGCAAGTACAAATGTTTTGAATCGCAGTTAAATCAACGCTACCAGAATTATCTGATTGGAATATAAACAACAATAACAAACCTAAGTTGAGTGCATTCTAAAGCATAAGCTTAATTTTGAAGCCACAAACAACTATGGATTAAGCCAAATTACTGGAGAATGTTTTGACCACAGCACCGTTTAAAATGTCCACGTCCTCTTTAGGATCCAACTCTTTTTGTTTTCGTTTTTTGTGTTTCTTCTCCTTATGAACTTCGCCTTCAGCTGACTTAACAGAGACCTCCATTTGATTTGAACGTTGCACGTGTGCTATATCAGCGCGTGCGTGAGTTTTCTGTCGCTGAAAATATCCCTGGGGTGGGGAGGGAGATATGGCTAAGGCGTTGAAAAACACATTACAACTTTCTTAAGAGATGCGTTTTTAATTGCATATTTGAAATTTTCAGTATTCAGTTCCACTATAGTACGAAACTTTTTAATTTTCACCCCATGTGTTTAATATTAGCCTTACTGACCCTACTCTAGATAGTGGCAAGTCGCTCGTGTTTTAGATCAGTTCGTGACGTTTCGAAGAAAGAATAATGTCACCTGCAAAAGCTTGGCTAACCTCAATATTTCACTGGTTAAAAAGCGCGGTAAAGTTTCAAAACGGTTATGACTAGTTACAATGAATTGCTTTCAAAAAGTTAAGACTGCTTTGCGAAGATGAGACTCTACTACCAAACGAGACAGCTCCGCGGTTGACACCAGTTCAGATTTCCTGTTACTATAGAGTTTGGCATGCATCGAAAGAATTTCCACCATCTGCTGTGGCTTTATATGATCTGAGGTGAAAAGTAAGACGCTGAATATCAAATATCCGTCTATCGAGCGCATTAATTGGCGATCTGCAAGACATATTCTCCTGTGAAACGGTCGCGGGCCTGTGTTGAGTTTTCGTGGGCAACGCGTTGAAATAATCAACCGCACCATCTGGCGTTTTTCTTGATCTTTGACTTCTAGAAAGTTTGGTGCGATACTTATTGACTTGTTCAAACAGGAATTAGTGCCAACAGCATCGCAATGTGGTACGTAATAGTTTTGGCGGGTTGCAGCTCAAGTCACATGAATTCGGTTTAATTCAAGCTAAATCAGTTATACAGCAATGGACTTCGTTTTGAAAGGCTAATAGGAAGGACGATGTATCCTCCGAGGAGAAAATGCAGAAAGCTGGTGGTCTGGATTGGTTTGGCAGTCGTCGCGCAAGTATTGTTCTCTTTATTTTTGCACGGAGAGTTTAATTTCGCACCAGTTAGACGCGCGAGAACTACTAAGAAACTCGATAGGATTATAAAATCACGTCTCTGGCTTCAAAGTCAAGATGTCGATCAAATGGAAGGAAACCACAAGTTTATTGCGCGAGCAAAACTGGAACATGCTCGTGGCAAAGACGAGAGTATAGATTACGAAGAAAACTTGGTAATTAGTGAATTAAAATCAACAGATCTTCCGCGAATGCCTGGAAGGAATCTTCATAACCCTCTGCGTGTCATCGGCCGAAATCAAGCTATTAACCTATCAACAGGGATAATTGGGCGCAAAGGACTCAAAGGGAAAGCAATATTTGATGACCGATCTGCCAAAAAGCAAACTAATTTAAGTCACGAAATTAGAACTGAAAATCATAGAAGGTCAAACAACTCTACGTTGGAAGATTTACTTATTTCTGTTAAGACAACTGGAGATTATCACGTTCCGCGCGTCTCGATTTTACTTGACACATGGTTTCAAAATGCCCGGAAGCAGGTGAGAGCTGTATGTAAAGACGGAGGTCATGTCGTTAAAACATTACTGCACTTCCTTCACGCGCCCCAGTTTATGTTACTGTTTAAATTTTTGCTTCTTATACACTTTCCTCTAGCCACTTAATTTACCAGCTTTTTGCAACTCGTTCCTACATTAGGTCAGGCTGATCAACTTGCAGTTTCTCCTTTCTGATTGAACACGTTGCCAAGGAGAGATTAGATGCAAATAAGCTAAATAATCTAATCATCCAGCAAGATCACTACCAAATTCTCAACTAACATTCAAAAGCAATGCATGGTGATCAGTTAAAGAGAATAAGCATTTTGAACTAGGACTGAATGCAGCACAAATTCTTGGCAGGATTATCAGAATATCCTGCTTAGTGAAGTTAAATTCTGCAAATGAAATTCAACGTCGTATTTTTTCATTGTATTAAATGATACAATCAGATATTAAGATCAGAAGATCTGTTTTTCATAAATTAACTGTCTGATCAGTAGTTTGCAGTTAAATATGTATCATACCCACTGAGCTTGTGCATTAATTCTGCCATCTCTATAAACCATTCTTTCTTAAAATTTCTGATATTCCTAGATGTTTGGTTTAGTCTAATCCTTGAAATCTTCTTTTGAGACATAATAGTGGTAAATTTTACAACAATAATATTGTGTTGTCTTAGATTTTCCCATTCTTTGAAACAATGTTTGCATTTAAATGATATTTTCAAGTGTTGGGGTTTTGATGTTAATCAATAAATAACAAAGCCATGTTACTGAAGAAATGAACTTGTATAAACTGAAATTGTAGCAGAAATACCAAAATGGCAAAATGATATTTTCTAAAACCAAGTGATTGATAATTATAAGTACCTGAAATATTACTTATTATTTTCAATTGTTGCTAATTTTGAATTTGATTAATAATGTTTTTATTTGTCTTAAAACAGTGGTCAATTCAAACTTGTCAGACTCTGAGGCAATTTTTTTTACCACTTAATTGAGTTTTATAAGATTCTCAGAGAAGATCAAGACCTAGGGAAATTTTGCTGAAACTTGAAATAATTTGTATATTAAGATAACTTTCACTGCTAACATTTTGGATTAATTTTAATTATTATGATTATTCATCAAGAAAGTGTCAACAGCTGTTTGAAAGCTCTGGTAACTGCTTTCTTGTGATAAGATCACTGGATAAGATAAGAGAGTGTCTCAGTTTCTTAGAAACCACACTAACCAGAAAGAATTTCTGGTAAGAGATGTTACAAATAATATTAAGTCTGGATCATGGAAGAAATTTAAATCAAGACAAAAAGAGAGCAAATAATTAAACCTTTAGGGTTTGCAAGTTTAAGACAGAGAACAAGAATAAAACAACAGCAATGTGGTGAACGAAATATAAATGGGAATTGACTAGAAAACATCTTTTTATAAGTGGACCTTAACAGCTTAAGGGACCATTCACAATGTTTGATACAAAAAATTTTGTATTCATTTGATTATTTGCAATTTTTTTAAAAGCTATTGTCCTCTCTTGTGGTTTTATTACAGGTTTACTTTTTCACAGATCGTGAAGATGCAAAAATGAATGAAAGTTTAGGTGAGAATGTTTGATAATTAAACATGACAAATATCTTTCACAAAACAGTTGTAAATGAAATAGAAAAAGGTGCATATTTTTGTGGATGAAATGGATTTAAGAATGAGGACTGGTGATTTTGAAATTTATGTTTTGCAATTTCATGGCCATTATCACATAGGAAGCAGGTGGTCTGATAATCAGTTTGCTGAACTTTGGACTCAATCATCTGGATTTGAACTCTGACCAGGGTCATTGTATTACGGGTTTAATTTGGCAAGATGTTTTACTCTCACAGTGCCTTTCTCCACCCATGTTGATGGGTAGAGAGTGGGGACAAGTGAATGTTATACTAGGAGGTAACACTGTGTGGACTAGTTTTCCATCCAGAGTGAAGTAGAAATACTCCTAATCAATTCATGCTACAGAAACTACTGTAGAATAAGCTCACTTTTTCTGTCAATTAATTACACGCAGCAAATTTTGAAATGTGTTAATATCACTGCATGAATTGTCTTAACTTTTAGGGGGACACCTTATCAAGACACCTTGTGAAACAGGACACCAGAGGTATGTGAACCTCTATTGTATGTAATAAGTGATTTTCACAGATGCCATAGCATTTTGCACTTATTGCGGACCTACTTTTTTAACGGCACCAAAAAGCCCTGTTTCCTGACTGTAAGGAAAACTTATGATTCTCACCATATCTGTTCTGGAATTGCCAGGTTTAGAAGTCTGGGTAGAATTTTGAATGATGTATCAAATAAATACCTCTAAAACTGTATTCAAATAGATTAGTTCGATTCACTTTCAACTGATGCCTTCAATTCCTGCAAGTGTTACAGGAACAATGCGTGGATCTTCTCTAAAATGGAGAAGTGTTTCTTCTGTTAACATATTTTTATGCAATTCAGATAATTTCTAACCATCCTGTTATGTCCCATTATTTTTATCAGGACAAAACTGTGTTGCAAGATGCAAGCAGAACTAGATTTGTTTGCAGAGAACTTGAATGCAAAGTAAGTGTCGAGGACCCGTACCCGCGGGTAACGGGCTTTTGTATATCGCTTCGCCAGTTAATCTCCTGCCTTTGCGTAAACTGTTTTCCGCTGCATGCATTTTATGTTCAAAATGAATACATGTACAAATTTTTGGTAGGACATTTATGCAAAAGCCGCCTCCTGTCATCATTGTCCATTAAAGGAGGGCTCTCTAGAACCCAGAAAGTCTTGCTTTGGAACCCGAAGCTCTAGGCTCGTTTTGGAGCCCAGACAAAAAAAATGTCCGTTCTCAAAACGTTCCTTGTAAGTAATTTTTCACCCGTGCAAACATACTTTTTTCTTCTTTCTCCTGTTAGGTGGTTCTGCCATTTTGATGACGATAACTATGTCAATGTACCGACATTGGTTAAAACGTTGCAAAGTTTCAACCCGCATGAAGATGTCTACCTCGGCAAACCAAGTCTGCTGAAAGCGATGGAGGTAATCTTCAGAACTTTAATTTTTACGGCCAAATGTTATCAGCTGAAAGATTTTGTTATTAATAACTCGTCTTGGACGATAACCCTCTGACATGTAAAATTCGCGAGTTGTGATTTTTATAGACGTTTTTGATTTTGAGCACACTAAAAAAGGACAAAATGTCGGATCCGCTTGGAAGTTTGGGTACATGTGTGCCTTTTTGCAAGCGAATATGTTAAACAACATACATTTGAACTGCTGTTATGTATGCAACCTAGACCGTTGCAAACGTAAAGCCTGAAAAAAATTCAGGCCTGAACGGGATTCGAACCCATGACCTGTGGGATACCAGTGCAGTGTTCTACCAACCGAGCTACCAAGCCAATTGGGAGCTGGTCACGTTGCGAGTTATATACTCGTAGATGGAGAAGATATGCAAGTTATGATGTAAAAAATCGTAATTATGTTTGAACTGCGGGGTAAAGATCAAAAAAAAAAAGAAAAGAAAAACAAAGAAAAACAAAGAAAAAAAAAAAACAAATTAAAGAGATCTTCGAAGTTAGGCTCGCAACTTCCTAAGTCGCGTACATAACTGCGATGATCTTTCGTATCATACGAATTTTGTATTTGTTTCTTTTTTACAGACTTGGGATACACTGGATGGAAGTAAGGTATGACTAAAAGACGCATTTCATTGCTGAAAAATTTCGCTTGAAAAAAAATAAGGAAGACCAGTTTTGCTGATCATATCTTGAAAATCTATAACTAGGAAAGATAAGCTTCCGAGAGTTAACGTCTTCCATTTTTTTTTAACATATATTTTTTTGGGCAGAAAAAGAAGTTTTGGTTTGCCACTGGTGGAGCAGGGTTTTGCTTGAGTCGTGCTCTAGTCAACAGAATGGACCCTCATATCAGGTAAAGTTCTTCCACAGTTACTGAACAGGGCCTAGACCACGCAATTTGTAGGCAATTTCAGAGCTGATGAAGTTGCCAGAGAAATATCACAATAATGGCGTAAAACTGTAGAAACCTCAAAAGAAACGCAGGAAAGCTACAAAAGGGCACGGATGGAAAAATAATTGGAGAAGATTACAATGGATTGCATTCGGGCAAACTTGGAAAAAAATTGGGCCAACGTTTTTCAAGTTTATCTCAATTTGTAGAGAAAGTGCCATTTATAATGCTCGGTATCATCCTTGTTTGTTATGTGTTCGTGAATTTACCCACAAAACATTGTTGTTCTGCCAATTTGTACGAGGAATTAGGTTATCTCCTTTCAACTCTGTGGAGAGTCAATGAGGTTTTGGTTTCCTCGAGACCATTAAGGTTTGCCGGAGTGAAGCAAAGGCGTGCACCCCCACAACCTGCCTCGGTATCAAGACGTTTACTGTTCACCCAAGCTTATATTCAACATGCATTTTTTCCTTCTCCATAGTAATGGCAAGTTCGCACAAAGCTGTGAGCGGATTAAGCTGCCCGATGACTGTACTATTGGATTCATAAGTGGTGAGGAAACAATTTCTTAGTGTTGCGTGTGTGCAAAAAAAGTTACCTCGCAGGGTCTTTTATTGTTGTCATGAAAACTTTCTTGTCTTTTGAAAACCTTCTTTTTTATTTGTCGTTACTTTGTAGAAAGTCTTCTTAACGTGAAATTGACAAGATCAAGCCTTTTCCACTCTCATCTGGAACATCTTCCGGGTTTACAACAAAGCGAGTTCAGCAAACAAGTAAGGGAACTTTTTAAAATTACACAAAAGATTAATTTTGTTACTGAGCTCAATTTAAAAGATCATGTGATTTCTCCTCTGTCTTAAAACGTTGGCCACGTTAAGTCTCTTTACACCAAGCCCCTTTTCTTTTCTCTTTCTTTTAAGGTGGCTCCATAGGGTAATCATTTATGGCGTTGCGCGCGCAAATGTTATGTTTTGAATGCTGTTTTTGCATTCGCTTTCACACCCAGTCCTTTCAAACTTATTACATGTAATAACGAATGATTAAATAGTGTTTTGCTATCATCTCTTTTAAAATTTTGGGCTTTAGACTTGAATTATAAATGCCCAACCAAATGTGTTTTTTACTGTTTGTGTGGCTTTATTTGTGATTTTCTTCGGTGTAATTTTCCATAATTTTTACAACACATCGCTTCCAGCGGGATACGAATTTTAAACAGGAAAAAAGTAGGGTTTGTAAAGGCAGTTTTTTCGATTTTTTCAAATTTATGTCTTTTACCGCTGTTCCATAAATCTGGTCTTATAGATTTCCCTGAAAAACGAGCTCCGAATAAAGTAACATGTTTTCTACCAATCTGCCAAATTTTATGGAAATTTCACCGAAGGAAACGCGAGAAAATTCACCCTCAGTTTTGCTTTTTGTGCTCATGTTGACGTCAGAAAATATCCAAAAACACTGACGTTTTCCTTCGAGCGCGCGCAGATTACTTGAACTTTCGTCCTCAGCGCGCGTGCGATCGAAAAACTATAGGGAGCCACCTTAACTTCATGTTGCTTTTGCCATCACTTTCAGATAAGCTTTAGTCACGGCTACATGGGTGGCAGATACAACCGTGTCAACATCGACGGACCATTTAACGAACACGTGGACCCCAGTCGGTATGGTGGCTTCAAAATGTTTATTTATTTGTGTGTTTTTTTTTTCTTTATTTCAACAACACTTCAATGAAAATGAAGGGTTTTTTTGTTAAAGAGGTTGTCATGTGTGGAAAATATCTATGTCTTCAAACATTAAGAAAACTGTTGTGACAACTTCCGTCTTTCAAAAGAGAGCATCAGGGGCAAGAAAGTTAGTCCCTTATATGGGCCCCATTCTCAAGTTATTTTTAGACATATTACTCAATACATCCGCGAACAATGTTACCACGCGCGTTGCGTGGATGTTTTCGTGGAGGATGAAAACGCGTGTAAAGCCGCTCGGCCTGTCCACGTGAGCAACCCCCCGCGTCGTAAGATTGGTTCTCTTTAAACTCTCCTGGGTAACTGGAGCGGGATTACCTTGGGGAACTCTCTTATCATTAATCCTCTACCTGTTCTGTATCAAACCATCCTCTTGAACTGTAAATTTGTGATAACCCTTCCACAACCTTTCCAAGATAGGATGCCGAACGAAATCAAGTCCAATTACGAGAAAATTCTATGTTCTTAAAGCTTACTGCCAACCGCGTTAGTCATTTATTTACCATAGGTGTTCTCTTGTGAATATAGATGAATGTTATTTATTACACATAAAAATTAAACAGCTCATACATTTTTTTCTTTTTCAGTGATTTCATTCAATTTAATTTATCTCTTGCAGGTTTAAATCAATCCACTGTCTCCTATATCCCGAGACAAGCTGGTGTCCACAGAACACGCGGGTGTCTGTGGTCGAATGAAGTGGACAAAATCCAGGGCAGTGTAAAAGGCTAATCACAATTCAACAGATAACTTAAGTGTCATTGTCAGAGGCTATTTCATATTTATTTAATATTATCGATATTTTGTCCGGAATCGCCTACTGATCCATATTTTGTAAAACTATTAGACTCTTGAATTTAACTTAAAAGTTGCATTTTAAAATTTGTACTGTTTGTAAAATAGGTCTGTAAATAAGTTATTGGTACAATTTGTATGCAATAAAAGAAGTCCAAGAACAAAGTTTCCAGAAAACTGTTACAGACATTCGTCGTTCGTCTGTATAAATATTAAAAATAAACGAAGTATATTTGACAAAGTAGACTTATTTTATTCGTTTCTCGGATAATTGAAACCGCGCGCTTTATAGCCGAGTTGCAGCTTCTTTTTTTCCTCCCTCTTTGAAATTTTTCTGACCCTTTTTTCACTTCTTGGTCTTTATGACTTTCATTTGCGCTTGGTAAATAAAAAAGAATGAAAATGTATTTGGAATTTTACCGAAATTGTAATAAAGTATCCGAGGAAATATTTCTGTGTTTATGCAGTGCAAGAAATCGAACCGTCATGGAGGAATAACAGTACAATTGGATACGTCAGCACTCGGAATAATACTGTTTGTGGACTTTCAAAACTAGCTAAACTTGTGTATTTGCAATGCTGTTTTAGGCCCCGACCACACTTTTACTGCGTTTTTTGCCTATCGTCCTCACTAAAACGACCGAAAACGCTGATGAAAGCGGAAGCTTTCGAAAACGGCCTCAAAAGTGGAGCGTTTTCAGTGAAAACGCTCTGTTTTTAGTGTGGACGGGTGAAAACGGAGGCTTTTGAAAACGGTACCGAGAAATGCATCATATGTTGTCGTTTCCATCATCGTTTTCGGGCGTTTTAGTGTGGACGTTAGGCGAAGACGTATCAAAAAGTATGCGTTTTCGAATAAAAACGAATTAGTGTGGACAGGGGAAAACAAAACGAAGACGAGCGGGCGAAAACATTTTGCTCTGTTTTCGTCGAGACGAAAACGGATACTTTAATAAACGCATTAGTATGGCCGCGGCCTTAGTTTCGACTGAACGTTCGCTTGCGTTGTGTGATCATAGATATATTGTCTGTAAATATTGACACTGCAATAGTGTGTTCGTCTACTGCTAGCCGCCACAGATTTAATGATGGATGTGCGTCTGCTTTCAGAACGGGCTTGGGAGCCTGATGGTATCGGTGTCTTTCAACCCAGTGTGCTCTATAAAGCCACACTTTAAAAGATAGCTTCGTGCTGTTCCCATCCGTCTACTTGATCTCGATTATCCGGCTATCCGGCGCAAATTCCCTCACATCGAAATCTCCAAATGCGCGGCGTACTCGAAGTCTCCAAATGCGGGCACGCTCACGGTGGTATCCGATACGACCCATACACATCCTCGTTAGGCAAAAATTGAGGGGTTTTTACAACATTCTGATGAAGGGACAGTAATTCCGAAATGTACGGAACTTTAAACCTCTTTAGCACTGAAAAAAAAGCACTGAATAATATAGGCAAATCCTGTTTGTCTGAGGCCCAGGCCACATTAATGCGTATCCGTTTTCGTCTCAACCACATGAACCGAAGGAAAATATTTTCGCCGCGTNGAAAATATCCATCATATCTGTCCGGACTGATGCGTTTCCATTCGAAACGGATACTTTTTGATGTGTTTTCGCCTATCAGTGTACACTAAAACGCCCGAAAACGCTGATGGAAGCGACAGTATCTGACGCTTTTGAACTGTCCACACTATAAACGGAGCGTTTTCAAAACACTCCACTTTCGAAACCGTTTTCAAAAGCTTTCGTTTTCATCAGCGTTTTTGGGCGTTGTAGTGTGTACGGAAGGCGAAAACGCATCAGAGAGTATGCGTTTTTAAACGAAAACGCATTAATGTCGTCGGGCCCAAGAAGTATGCCAACTGTGTTGGCTCCCTCGATTTTAGGCCTCTCAGCCAAGATTGCCTTTGGGGATCTTGCGCGTCATTCTTATCCTTGCTATCTCAGTATCAACTCATATCCAACGTGAGCTCATGGAATAACCTGGTTAATTACTGAATTCTCATCCACGCATCCTTCTGATTCGTTCACTGAGTCTCGGTTACCACCTTATATGGAAAATGAGTGCGACATGTCGTTTTAACTTTTTGGCCAAATTAGTTCCCTCGGAAAATTAAAGACTGCTGAAATCAGCAGATTGACAAAAATCTACAGGATTAGAAGATCCAAAACCGAACCAATTTCGCTTGAAAAGTGAAATCAGATTTTCAGTATAAAATAAAGCTTAACTCGCCAGTTAAGTTTCTTACCTTACATTTGGGTCGTGTCCTTTTATACTTCAGTCAGCTGGCCACAATAGTAGTCTTTCTATACTATACCAGCTTGCAGAAGAAGCACAATTTTCAGCAAGGCTATTCTATCTGAT